ATATATATTATTTATATATATATACACACACATACACTTAACAAGCATGCAAGCTGTTTTTTAGGGAATGACATCTTCAGCTGTCTATGTGCATGTAAGTGTAAGCATCATGATGATGAAGATGAAATATACACGTTGACACGTTGTAAAACAATTCATATATAAACAATATCCTCCATGTATATTATATATATTTTTAAAAGTATTCAAGAAATCGCAAGTCAATACCACAAAATATTTTTCCTTATAGTTTCAAATATTTACTAACTCACTTATATAAAATAAAAAAAAGTGGGCTTACTGCAAAAAGAAATTACGACACTACAAGCACTTACGTCGACAAAATAATAACTTATAGCAATGCAAGGACAGGCTCCAGCTTGCAGCACCGCAAGAAAAAGTGGCTTACAATGTTAACTTGCAGCTTCTTGACTATGTTGTGAGAAGAAAAGATAGCTATAACGTAAGAGTTTTTTTATTTATTTTTTATGAGATGGTTGTTTAAGATGATAACCCTGTTGTTTGAGGGCAGAGACGTTCCAATCTTTTTGGAGGCCTTGTTACATCCAAATTTTTTGATTACATTGCATAAATGAGATAACAGAGAATATATGTTAAGAACAATATTGGATTAAACCAAAAACGATTAACAATCTGAAACTAAACTCAAACCATTAATGATTTCAACCTAAAACCAAACAATTAATGGTTGGAACCTAAATACTTTCGGCTATGGTTTTACATAGGTAGATAAAAAATGACCTAAACACATGTAAATTTGGTCCCCAAAATTTTCGGGGGCCATGTTCAAAATCTCACATTTAACATGCTAAGGAACGATCATGTTTGAGGGGTGAAAGAGGGTACTAGTTTCGTTGCACATGGTACAAAGGGCAATAAGAACCTCCTTTTTGTACCTTGTGTTGTCAACTTATATCCAACTTAGGGGGTGTTTGGGATTGCTTATAAAAGCTGTTTTTTTAACTTATTTCAGTCTGGCATTGGTGATAAGCTGTTTTCTGTTGTTTGGATAAGAAAAAAAAACTGCTTATACCGGTACCAAACTGGTAATAAGCTGTTTTTGATAAGTTAATCTTTCCTGACTTATGAAAAACTGCTTATGACCAGTTTACAATTTTAACCCTATTTTATTTAACTCCGGTTTGATACCATATAAGTAAATAAGCACTTTTATAAAAAAACATAAGTTATTTTAAATAAGCAATCCCAAACACCCCTTTATCAAATTAAGAATTATTTTAAAGTCCACAATTATAATATTTATAAGAACCTCGTTTTGTGGGTCACGTTAATTATTTCAACATCAATAATTATTATATTAATAATTATAAAGTCAAAAGAATAAAACAAAAAACAAGGAAAATGTTACTTCTCACAAACTTTATGGTAAGAGCATCCACGATGGTGGAACCTCTAAGAACCCCACTTGCCATATTTTTCCTGTCAAATCATTGTCACATTCACAAAATAAGAACATCAATAAAACTAGGGGGTGGCTAATGGCACCCCTATCATGTGCTAATGCCACCCCTAAGTAGCATTTAATCATTGTGTTTTATAATTTTTTGTGTTTTTTTGTTTTTTTATGATTATTACTTTTTATTTTATTATTAATTAAAGAAAATTTTAATTAATATATATTATTTATATATATATACACACACATA